ACACTTGTGGCGCTACCTAAATGCGAGAAGTTGAACTATCAACGAGTGAGTGCTTGCGTACGATAGTGCCGTGACCAGTGCTATTTGACTTGGCATCTTCCTTTTCCGTATTGTAGGAGCACTTCGACGCGACTCGTCTTTACTCTTGGCCATCTCCTTCCCGAGATCACCGCCGGCCTCGTAATCTAGTGGCGTGGTCGCTGCACCACTCAAATTATTTTTCCAAGGTCTGCACAGGCAGAGTTCATGATAACTAGCAACAGACCAGATTGCAGTACGTGCGCAGCAACGGCGCGCAGTTTTGAAGCATGATCAAGCTGAGCCAGAAAGTACTCAACTGCACTCTCTTACATGCTATCTATCGTTGCTAGTTCATCGTTTCGCGTTCATACAGCGCCACCGATATCTTTCGGTCGTCGTTTGGTTCTTTCAACCGAATTTGTCCGCAACTGTAAACATTGCTCTATACGTAGTGGTCTCTGGCGGCGATGGTTGGGTCCGTTGACACGAAGCGTGAGATTACGATGAGCTTTCACGACGCTTCTGCAAAGTTCATTTCACATCACAGAGCATGCATGTTCTCCTTAGAAAATTAGTAGGGGTTTGTTCTGCGCAGGCACTGTGAACACCGCGCTCAAATAGGGCGCCCAGTGAATACTAAAATCCCCGATGACCTTTCTGAGCTCAGTGAATGCCACATATATACAGTGTAGTATTAAGTGTGCTTCTCTAGTTTTTAAACAAATGGTTCCTCCAGCGTACCAACCACGGCGCCGATCATCAACACGCCCATAGACATCATGGACCCATGATCAATTTTGGATACGAGTACTCCTCCGTTTAACTCCAAATCAATAGCCTTCAGCATCCGACGGAGAACATCTTGTACATTCTCCTTGGGCTTTCCTGCTTTGCAGGGGGCTGACAACAGCCGGCATTCCACAAGAGGCAGCATTTAAGCCAGTATCCGTTCTCAGCAGTCCCCTTCCAGGCTCTGCGTATATCTTCAATAATGTAGGCCAAGAACTAATCACTACAACAATTGCGTTTGGCGTATATTTAGACAGTAGGTAGCTAGTCAGCCCCAATGGCGATCTGGTGTTTACTCTGTATATGAAGCATTTTGCTAATGCAGTACGACCTTTATAGCATGGAGCCTTTAACCTGCATCACGCGATTGCAAGGAATGACCGCACGCTGGTAGGATGCTCATCCAGATGGAAAGGGGCAGAGGTTGGGATTGAGTCCTAGATTCGTGGGTCCTGAAGCTAGAGCTTTCGCTCAACGTGCTCCAAGCTCTCGGCCATTGATCCCCTCCCCCCGCTCCGCCCCCCCCCCCCCACACACGCACACACAAGCAACTCCGAAGTACACTAGCTTTTTAATATATTGTTAGTACCTGCCTAAAAGCGCAGCGTAGCAGCCGATGGGCTAGCAATCGTGATTTCAGTGAGTGTGGACGCCTCTTCATGGAAGTGTCAGACCTACAAACAGAGAAAGATATATCATACTGTAGAAGCTAAATAAAAAAAATGAAAGCCGTTTACAATTCCCTGTAACGCCGGTTAGAGCGCAGCTTTTGAGGAGGAAGATGGAAGCGTACTGAGAAATAGGTGACTCCCTGAGGTCACGTGACCTCAAGGGGTCACGTGACGTCAAGGGGGTCACGTGACCTCATGGGGTCACGTGACCTTTGGGGGTCACGTGACCTCGGGGGTCACGTGACCTGAAGGGGTAACATGACCTTAGGGGGGTCACATGACCTCAGGGGGTCATGTGACCTAGGGGTGTCACGTGACCTGGGTGGGTCACGTGACCTTATGGGGTCACGTGACCTCAGGGGGTCACGTGACTTCTGGGGGTCATGTGACCTCCGGGGGTCACGTGACTTCTGGGGGTCACGTGACCTCAAGGGGGTCACGTGACCTCAAAGGGGTCACGTGACTTCTGGGGGTCACGTGACTTCAGGGGGTCACGTGACCTAGGGGGGTCACGTGACCTAGGGGGTCACGTGGCCTTGGGGGGTCACGTGACCTGGGTGGGTCACGTGACCTCGGGGGGTCACGTGACCTCGGGGGGTCACGTGACATCGCGGTTACGCCGACGGCGACGCCAATGGCGACGCCGACGGCGACGCCGACGCCGCTCAAGCCGGAAACGGGCCCCTAAGAGCTGCGCTCTAAAACCAAAAACTTACTACCCGTCAGCCGAAACTGATACGAAGGACACGAAAGAGGGTACACTTACAGGGGCAAAGAACAACGCACACAGCTCTTTCAGGGACAGAGGGCACACAGTGCTTATGGTGACAGTGGACAACACACAGTTCCGAAAGAGCTGTGTGTGTTGTCCCTTGTCCCTATAAGAGTATACTTTTTCTTCTCTTCTGTATTTCATCTCCAACGTGCTCCCTCCCACATGCATAATACAAAAATGCAGAGATTCCCACAGAATAATATTGAACTTTCAACCCCCCGGCGGTTGCTACCAATATCGCCCTATGTTCAGTACTAACACACTGGCTTTATTTAACATGGTTAGCCTCTTGGTTAAAAGAAACAATTGGAAAATTCCTTTAAAAAATCAAGCGGGTTCAAATCAAAAGACACTGAACATTCTTTCAAACTAACTTATATTATATCATGCAACGGACGATGGGAACTTCTATTAAGGAGAAAAAATGACGGGGCGGTGACTGCTGCCATCTGTCGAATTCAACTAGTCAAAGCGCGGTATCGACCATGTCAAGCATACAAAAAGCTATGTCAGGTCTCATGAGGATATTTGAAATACTTAGCACGTGCTATTTGTCGAAATGTATATATGGAAAAAGGATGCGCTGTGTAGGTAAGCACCCGCGTCCCGTTTCTTTTTTTAATGATGATTTTAGTCTACGTAAGGGGCAGATCCTTTGTCTGACTTCACAGTTGCTCGTGACCAAGCGACCGAGTCGGTCGCGAAATGTCAAGTATCTGTTTTTATTAAACTTTGGTTAGAGGTGTTACAAAACTCAATCACTTCCAAAATAATACCAAAACAAGCTTGGTAGAAGAGAGCCAAACCCTTGCGATAAAAGCAGTGCCGGCAACCAGTGTGAGTATATATATATATATATATATATATATATGCACTCATTTACACAATGCGTCGCAAAAGTTAGGCTGCATTAACGACATTAAGTGGCAAGTTGCTTTACACCTCTGAAATGGAAGACGGGCAAGGTGCGTTGTCTAATTCCTCGTCAGACAGGCAGTTCTCCGCTCACTCATTTTGAGTTTTGTAAATCCCAAAACATTGCAAAAGGTCATTCAGACGCTCGTGCGCACACTAGACGTTTTGAGCTTGGTAACACCAGCCTTGTGGCATCAAGTCTGTTTTAATTCAGCATTTGCCATGGCGGCGTTTTATGCTTTTTGACAGACAAAACATATGGTGAAATAGTTTCTATGCTCTCTCTGATGTGTAGACTCTATGGCAAACAGCCACATCCAAGTCTAGGACAGGCTTGCACGAATCACCGAATCTCCACAAAGAATTTCTGCAATCTCAAATGGATCGTCTTCCGGATGTATTCCTTTTTGTCCTGCAGGTCGTTCACCCCTTGGTAGTGCTCTTGTTTTGTAACTTGAGGTGCACATGTCTTGTTGTCTGCACTTGTGTTATGTTTTGATTTTGACTCTAAATGATTTAACATAATTTCTAATCCCCTTCAAATTAGCTGCGACTGTTATTACCTCGTCAACAATGTCACTTAAGTATTTTACGCGATTTCAAGCCTTCTGCTTCAGTTCTTACTTATCGGCATGAGTCACTATTGCCTTCAAACAATATTTCCTTCTTTTTCAGCCCTTACTCACGAGCTAAAATCAGAAAACACACACCAGATTAGGCTGGCAAAATGTTCTGCTTTGAAACAGGGCACAACTCAAACTGCAAGAGAAAACCCTGCCGACACAAATTCTCACCTGTATACCGATCAAAAGTTCGTAAAAAGACACAGCTGACCTTGCTCCCACTGCGGAACTGATCCACGGTCGTATTATGCGATGCGTTTTGTAGGTTCCCGATGATGGAACGCGCTGACGGCGATCCTTGTTGACGCGTCGGCCTTGCAGGGTTGCGCATGGTTCATCATGTTCTGCTTTCGCTGTCAGCTTTGAAATAAAACGTCGTGCTTACAATAGTTATTCTTGCAGCTCGCCGCAGATGTAAACAAGCCGATTTTTCGTAGTTTCTCACCGCTGATTGTGCATCGGCTGCCAAACTGCAATTGATGACCAGATGGGGAGGCTCAAGCTTGCAAACGAAGGTTGCAACCAAACTGCATGTGACCGTTTGCAATCTATGCTTTTTGCTTGTTTATGATCTCATACGGGGCCCCAGGTACATCGATAGTGTTACTGTTTCTTAATTCACAGTAACTAAAACACCTGCTCACCATAGAAAGAAATTTTGCAACGCAATTCAACGTGGGACGGCCTGCACGATTTCGAGGTGAGGGATCATGTGAAAACTCTGACATTACTCCTAATTGTTTGTTTCCAACAGACCAGCAAAACAATCTTCTTGAAACCATTAAAAATACATCGCTTTTTTTTTCTAAAAATCATTTATAAGCTTGCGCTCCACCAACCGCGTCGAGAGATGCACCCGGGACAAAAGGGACAACAATGTAATTTTTGCAATTTACCCATCGCCCGTCTTCATCCTTGTAATGTCCATTTTATACTTGCTCACCTGAGTCTTTGTTTGACTGAAAGAAGTCTTTCATCAGACGTTATTCATAAAACTTGCCCTCACTAGTCTGGTGTAAATGTAATAAGGCTTTGAAAGCAACCCAGCAAGCAAGGTGGCTGGGTTGCGAAATTAAGCAAAAATGTTTGACCTGATTTCTGTTCGTTGACGTGGTGTGCGCAGGTCTGATTTACGTCTTGTTTACGGAGCTGATAAACAATGGGTGGCTTCAAATGGAAAGGCTTCATAAAGCTCACAGTCAAGAGCTAGACTATACCGACTATTCTTTCATGAGTGCATATATAGTCCATCGCTCGGCGAATGTCATAAATGGAAATGTTTTCTTCGCACATGTTTACAAGCAAGCGCAAGTGCGCGAGGGAGTGTGGGTTAGCCGAGAGTTCGAAGCATTTGGCGTCGAAGTGGCTTGCGGCTTGCTCGTAACAGCTGTGGTCCCTCAGGGGAATCTTTACTTTGAGCAACAGCTCGCTCTTTTCAGCGTCGCCACGCGTCACAAACTTCACAAGCGCCGCCATCTTGCCCTTGAGGAAAGTACGGAGTAGCAGCATCCGATCCAGATCTTGCTTCAGCGAGAGTGCAACCTGAGGGTCCGTCGCATTCATGAGTTTATGGCGGACAATGTCAACGGGCAGATCTCTGCTGGGAACTGTGTCCAGAGGTGCCTTGGCCAAAACTTCAAAAGGGCCACCTTCTGCGCCTTGGAACTCACTAATCTTCATTCTCCCCATCTTCAAGTCACCATACTCCATGACGTGGCTTGTGTAAGTCTCAGACTTGACGATTTCTAACTGGTCCTGGAGCGTTTCATAACCCGGGATCCCGCACCGAGTGTCATGCATCCAGTTGACGCTGTAGACATCTCCCAAATACGTGTTCCTAAATTTGTCGTAGTAACACGCTGCGGACGGTTCCTCGCCGTTTGCCGCCGTCGTCGCATACACGCTGATGTCGTCAGTCAAGAGGTGTTGGGCTCCAAACCTCGCCTGTTGGACACCGATTCAGTGGACGCCGCCATCGCTGCCATGAAATATTGGGGCAAACAACAGTGTTGCCACGGAAATGCCGTGGCAACGAAGGTTGTTTGCCCCAAAAATCAATTTGACGAGCTCCCCATTGGTTGAGAAGAGTTCGTGGTCACGCCTACTTCCGTTACACTTCTCTCCATGTATGGAGAATACGGACGCCACCTCCTGCCCCTTACAACGCCACCTCCTGCCCCTTATGCTGCAGAGTAACTCTGCGTCCTTTATAGGAAGAAATTAGCGTTGTGATGGCGGCCATTTTGCTGCACCCCATCTCACAGATACCAACCCTACCAAAAAAAGGAAATAATTCATGATAACTTTCCACTATCTGGATTATGGAACTAGAAATATGTTTCTGGAAACCTTAAATCCAGATGAAAAGCAAAGAAATATTTAAAAAAAAAACTTTACATACAGATGGAATTGAGATAGTACATTTCCAGTTCCATAATCCCGATAGCGAAAACTTATTCTGGGTTTTTCGGCACAGTGCAGAGAAAGCACAGTCGCACGATGTCTGCTCAGCAGACTGCTTTGTTTTGTGCGAGCACCCGTGAAGAGAGGAAACGTTTCAATGTCACGCGCTGCTGCCTGTGACGGCAGTGCATAGGACTGCAGTGCACACAACTGTGCGATTGTGTTTGTGACATCTCGAGTTTTTTCTGTGTGTGTAAAGAAAACGATTCCATACTCCGTTTCACTTTGAGCCCATAATGCGGCTGACACTGCGAGGCAATGGAGCCAATCTAACAGCGCCAAAAGTGCATCGCCAAGGAGGACGTTTTCTTCGTGGGTTTGCTATGATCGGCTAAACCAATCGCGTACAGAAAATTGGCAGGATTGCGGCGAATTCACTGTGCTCAATTGGTTCAGTCGGTGATAATAAACAAACAAAAGCACTACGTGATCATCGCTGTGACGCCACACTTTTTGCGCTGCTTGTTTGGCTCCCCCGAATTGTGGCGTCGGCTGCGGTTGAACCTAAAGTAAAACGGAGTTTAGTGGAGTGCAAGTTCGTCTGCTTCTCGCACAGGGCTTGCGATGATGTCAGCACGCCGAGCTCTTATTGGCTGACTGAAAACAAAATAGTGGGTAGACTTCGAGGAATCTCTTCGCATTATCCTTTCAATCAAAGCCAATCAGAGCTCGACATCGCTCTGACGTCACTGCATCCCCTGTGCAAGAAGCAGACGACTTCCTCTCCGCACAGGCTTGCTCATTCAAAGCAGTATGATCTGTAAGTAATTAACCTACTTTACCTTTCTCAAAGCAAACGCATAACATAAAGGATACTCGCGCGTGTGGGTTTATTTAATTATTAGTATATATATGTTATATCAACTAGAAAAATGAAGAGGCTGAACCAACAGGAAGTACAACACTAGACAATGCCGACGACTGTTGGATGGGTGCAGACATTGTCCATCGCTTCGCGAATCTCTCTAAAGGCTCTTTTTTTTCTTCGCACATGGTGACGAGCAAGCGCAAGTGGGCAAGGGCGTGAGGGTTAGCAGAGAGTTCGAAGCATGGGGCGTCGAAGTATCGCACGGCTTGCTCGTAGCAGGTGTGGTCCCTCAGCGGAATCTTCGCCTTGAGCAACTGCTCAGTCTTCTCAGCTTCACCCAGCGTCACAAACGACACGAGCTCCACCATTTTTTCTTTCAGGAAAGCGCGATTTCGAAGCATTTCGTCGAGCTCGTGCTTCAGTGAAAGCGTGATCTGAGGGTCTGTCGCCTTCTGAAGTTTCTTGCGAACAATAGCAATGGGCACATCCCTGCTGTCGACTGCATCCAAGGGTGCTTTGGGAAAAACTATGGGAGGAGCAGACTTCGCGCCTTGGAAATCACTGACCTTCAGGTTGGCTATCTTCAAGTCACCGAATTCCATGACGTGGCTCGTGTTGGTCTCAGACCGGACGATCCTGAACTGTTTCAGGTGTTTTTTTTTTTGTTTTTTTTTGTAGGTCTTCGCGATTTGAGTCTTCCACCGGACTGCCTTTCCTGCGTTGTAGTGTGTGTGCGTGTGTGTATTTGTATGTGGGGGAAGGGGGGGGGGAAGCACACGCGTGCGGAGGAGGGAGTTCGAGCTGATGATAATTCAAGTGCTACCTTTTTAATCGAAGTGTCATCGAATTTAATCAAGTGTACACCCGTTTAGCCAGTCTCCCCAAATGCAACGTCTATTAGTTATCCCTCTCTCTCTCTCCCTTTCTCTCTCTTTCTCTTTGCCTCTCTTTATTTCTATCTATGTGTACACATATTTAATTCATGTTGCAAGGAAATTAATCTAGGTGCAAACAATTTAACTAACGTCTCAAATTTAACTGAAAGTTCTTGATTTTCATTCTAAAACAACTCCTTAATATACCCATATTCCGCATATTAGGTATCACCGCTGATCACTATGTTTTGACACTCTAGTGGTCCAAGGTACCTAAAACACATAAAAGATGTTTCAGTGGATATCACGTTTCACGACCACGAAACAAGGCCGGGCGGATAGGTGGGAAGCTGCAAAACCAAAAAAATATCACTCATACGGCGATATATCTACCGGATCACTGTATTTTTCGGAAAAGAAGTGCGCAATTGAACCCGGCCGACGAGGCCGACGAGACAAAGCACGTCACGATTCCCTTCTCTCTCCCCCTTGCTACGTCCCGTCAAGCTGGTGAACCGAAGCGAGGAGGAGAGAAGCGAGGCCGCTTCTCCTCATTCTCAAATTCTCCCGGAGGACAGTTACGTCAAAGAACTCGCTTGATCGCGCCCTTCTTTTCCAAAAGTACGGCCATCCGTTTGAGATATCGATGTACGAGTGATGTTTTGGAGTTCCTTGCGTCCGGTTCAACATTTCTGCAGCCTTACTTTGCGAAATACAAATTTCGGTTCAGTATCCCTTTAAGGCATCAAGTGCTTTATTTTATTTTTTTTTTGCGTTCCCATACGAAAGAATATGGCGAGCATACAGTTAACAGCTCGCACAACCGGCTGAGCTTACGACGACAACTTAGAAGATGCCGTGAGAAAAGTCGCAAAGATTTGTGAGGCCGTACCTTACAGAGGACATGGGAGCAAAGGTTGACTATCCCTTCGAGAAGAGTGACTGGTTTATCAAATGTCACGAATGACAATTGATGAGGCGATGATAAATAAAGAAACTAAACGTTTAATGGGACGAACTTGTGCCCAAAACAAAAAGGAAACACAAGATAACAGTAGAGCGTCGCGGGCGTCGATGGCAGCGTAACAGCAGGATCGTACGATGGCGCGAGACTAACTCTGGCGCGCTGCGCGGAGCCCCTTATGTACACGCGTGGGCTTCTGAAATAATCGGCGCAGAAAGGTCGACGCGTAGAACATTCGGACCTCGAACAAGCGCCAGAACTCTCGAATTTATCAGAACATTAAATTGCAGCAATAAACAAAAGACACGTCGCTCCCACGAATCGAACCCTCGCTTTTCGCGTGGGAGGCAGGCACAATAACCGTTAGGCAACGCGCGCGCTTTTTTTTTTTTTTTTTATTGTGCACAAGTCACACATTACATATTAAAAACCCATGTACTCCGACTTGGAGCCGTTGAGAGCATTAAAATTCCTTCATTCCTGTTAGCTCTTCTAACAGGTCAACCCAGCTTGGCGGGGTTTCAAAACGTTCAACAACGCTCTTCACTTGCACAACGAGTTCGACAAAACACAGGCGACTTGGGGTGCTGCTCTGCGTAGCACACCGTCATACGGGACTTCCAAAGGCTATGCAATCCCAATTCCATAAACATGTCTTAGGGTACGCTTTCATGCTTCTTTACCGGGAAGAAACGAATTGAAAAACGCTTGACCTGTAAATCCTTCTTCTAAGTCCGTTGCAAAAGGCCCCAGAAGAACACTGCATCCCAGCAGTACAAGAAAGCATGTTCAATCGTCTCAGGTTGTTTGAAAAGTAGACAATTTACACTCCACGGGACGTAAATGCCTCGTCTATCAAGCCATACCTTCAGCGGCAGCGTTTAGCTATGGAGACGGAAGAAAAAGGTTTTGACACAAGGCGGGACGCACATTTCCTCTACACGGGTAAGAACATCTTGTCCCGGACACGAAACATAGGGACGTCTATACAACGGTGCAGGGAACAGCACCTCAATGAGGTCGCGCGTCAACTTTTTGCGCGTTACTGTTGATAAATATTTCCGTGGAAACCTTACGTCCAAAAAATAAAAGGCTTTTATAACTTCTTTTGTAAATCCAACGGGTTTGGCTGAAGGCCCCGAGTCTGACGCGCAAAAAAAGGACGGTCTGCCTTGTCTGAAACATTGTTCGTAAAAGGGGGTGCCGCTGGTCACGCAGAAAAAGAAACCATGACACAGTTTGACGAATAAAAAGATACGACAGTCCAACCCCTCCCTTAGCCACACAACGAAACAGATTGTCCTGACACATCGGCTCGCTTGACGACAACCAGATAAACAGTGCGAACATGTGGTGCATCTTCTTGATATGGATTCGGGGGCAGCATAGCACCTGTAGGACATACCAAATCTTCGCGGTCAAGAAGGTGTTACACTCGGTTGTTCGCGTAAAAATAGACAGGTCACAATTACGCCATGAGGCTGTGCGTTTCTTTATGTCCTCGACGACATTTTCCCAGTAAGTTTTTTTCTCCTCAGGTGCTATAGTGGGACCCCTAGGTACTTGCACGGGGTGCATTCCCATCAAATACCTTCGTACAAAGCTGGTGTTGCAGCCCAAGTACCGTGTCAAACGCCGGAACACTTATCGAGGTGGACTACCGCAGCCGTGGTGGCGCAAAATTACTGTCAGTTTGAAAACCTCCTCTACGCTTCTTTTGTCACTACAAAATACGGCAATATCGTCTGCGTAAGACAGCACTTTTGTCTAGACTGAGTCTATTTTAAAACCGTGTATTTGTTCACATTGAATA